AGTTCTCATAACTGTCTTGGAAAGAAGTAATGGAGTAGCTAAACAATAATAGTAATTATAATAATGCAATGTGATAAATGCAATAACAAGGAAGTGTTACAGGATTCTGGGAGGGTACATGGAAAGAAATCCAAACACAGTCTGGGAAGGAAGATGAAGGGTAGGTAGTTTAGGGAAAGGCTTTCCAGAAAAAGTGATGTTTAAGCTGAGACTTAAAGGATGACTAGGAACTAAACTCTGAAGAAAAAAATATGCAGCCTAAGATTATTTCATTGTTAAATAATAAAGAAAAGAACTAAAACAAAAATAATTTAATTCTAGGCATAAGAAAAAGGAAATAAAGTTTATAAAAAGGAAATAACAAAACAGAAATTAATGAGTTAGAAACAGAGCATAATAGAATATAATTACTAACTGTTTCTCTGAAAAAGGCTGAATGATTTTCCACTAAAATCAGGAAAGACAAAATGTCAACTGTTACAATTCTATTTAACACTATCCTGCAAGTTCTGGTCAGTACAATAAGATATAGGAAAAACTAAGCATAACTAAGAGAAAGGTGATTACCTGCAAGTAATGATTATATATCAACAAACCTAAGAAAGAGACAATAAATGTTTAAAATCAATAAGAGAATTAGATTATCTGTATCAAGAGAATTTTTAAAAACCCACAAAACTGAGAAAGGGAACATAACAGAGAATTATGACACCATGCATGAATCTCTTCTCCCCCAACTTCTATGACTCTATTTGAAAACCTCAATGAAATGGATTTTTGTAAAATAAAAACCAAAAGCAATGACACTGACTCAAAAGCTAAAACAAAACATGACAAGACTAATAAGAATAAAACAAATTGAAAGAAAAATGAACAATTTTACTAATTTTTCCAAAATTTCAAGCAACAGATAATACTCATTTTATGGGGCTGCATATAACCTTAATTCTAAAAACATAACAGAAATAGGACAAAAATAACTACAGAACCTGCTAATGGGTGGACTATACCATAACTCAAAATGAAATTCTAGTAAATCTAACCACAGTAGGAAGTCAAAAGACCAGGCAGGGCTTATCCCCCAAATGCAAAGATTATTTAATATTAGCAATCTAGTGATATTAAAATATGATAAATGCCAATTAGTTAAGAAATCAAAACTATACAAAAATCGGAATAGATGGTGAAAAGAAATTTGATAACATTTAATACTCTTTCCTTATAAAAACTAGAAAACAGCCTACTTTCTCAGCATGATAAAATTTATCCATTTTTAAACCAATAAATGATATATTCCTTAATGACGAAGGAAAAGAGTTGTTTCCATTAAAATCAGGAAAGACAAGATGTCGACTGTTACTATTCTATTTAACACTATCCTGTAAGTTCTGGTCAGTACAGTAAGATATAAGCAAAACCAAGCATGACTAAGAGAAAGGTGATTATCTGCAGATAATGATTATATATCAACAAACCTAAGAAAGAGACAATAAATGTTTAAAATCAATAAGAGAATTCACTAAAGTGTTTAGATACAAGATAAATATGAAAATAGAAAAGCTCTGAAGATATAACGGGGGGAGAATCCTATTCAGAATAGCAACAAAATAATATTATAATATGCCTAGGAATAGTAGGCCCAAGACATGCAAGTAGTGTCTGGGTCTCAGAATAAATCAAAAACAGGCTAGGTACGGTGGCTCATACCTGCAATCTCAGCGCTGGGAGGCTAAGGCAGGAGGACTGCCTGAGGCCACGGTTTCGAGACCAATTTGAACAACATAGCAAGACCCTGTCTTCACAAAAAATTAAAAAAAAATAGCTGGGAGTAGGTAGTAGTGCACACCTGTAGTCCTCACTACTTGGGAGGCTAAGGCAGGAGGATCATTTGAGCCCAGAAGTTTGAGGTTCCAGTGAGCTACTGTTGCAACACTGCACTCCAGCCTGTTGCAAAAGAGTAAGACCCTGCCTCTTAACAAAAAATAAACAAATGAAAAAGATACTATAATTATGAATGGGAAGAATGATGATTATAATGGTGTCTATTCTTTCCATATGAGAGTTGCACTGAAAATCCAGTCAAAATACCAATGGGTTTTCTTTTTCCTGAAATAGCAAGAGCATATAATTCTAACATATATCTGGAAGAATAAATAGGCGAGAATATCGAAGAAAAGAATAATGTGGTGGGTAGGGTGAGGGAGACAACTGGGCCTATCAGATATTAAAATATATTATAAAGCTATAATGAAACAATGTAACATTTGCACAAAAATGATGAGACAAATGAATAGAAATAAATGGCTTTGAAGCAGACAGTTTAACGTTTGATAATGGAAATATCAAATCAATGGGAAAGGTATGGTTTAGTCAATAAATTATAGAAATTGACTATTTTCCAACATTCAAACTAGTTCCAGTGATCATTCCATAAATTAAAATGTATTCCAGAAGAAATAAAGAATTAAATGTAAAACAATTACCACCTCAAACAAATAAAGATTTAGAAGGAAATATAGTAGAATGCTTAACTGATTTCAGGATAGAACTTTATAAGCACAACAAACAGTTCAGGAAATCCAAAGAAAAATACTGAGAGATATCACTATGTAAAAATGAAAAACCTGTATGCTAAAAGATCTGAAGTTGTTGAAAACTGAAAGATAAAAATAACTGGCAAAACTCTCACAAATAGTATTAATACAAAATTTAATTCTTACCACACATAAAAATATATTGGGAGACTTCTTACAATTAAGAAGAATTCCTAAGCAGAAAAATAGAACAATGACACCAAGAGAATTTGAAACATTAAAATTTCATACAAATATTTGAAAAATATTAATTTCCCTAGTAAGTTAAAGAAATAACCATAGGCTGGGCGCAGTGGCTCACACCTGTAATCCTAGCACTCTGGGAGGCTGAGGTGGGTGGATCGCTCGAGGTCAGGAGTTCGAGACCAGCTTGAACAAGAGTGAGACCCTGTCTCTACTAAAAACAGAAAGAAATTAGCTGGACAACTAAAAATATATAGAAAAAAAATTAGCCAGGCATGGTGGTGCATGTCTGTAGTCCCAGTTACTTGGGAGGCTGAGGCAGAAGGATTGCTTGAGCCCAGGAGTTTGAGGTTGCTGTGAGCTAGGCTGACGCCACACACTCTAGCCCAGGGAACAGAGCAAGACTCTGTCTCAAAAAAAAAAGAATGAATCCAG